CCCACACACACACACACACACACACACTTCCAGTTTCCATTGTAATGAGATAATCAACTTTATTCACTTTACCTCTCAGTGGTCACAATGTTATGGCTGATCGGTGTACATCTGCCTGGGCTCAGCTTTAAGGCACATTGACTCCCCATGTAAGGAATATTCATATTCATTTCTTTTCCTCTTTCCTAGGGTTTATATCGGAAGGCGTTTGACGACCTCCACAGGTACATTCTAGAACGGAGAGAGAACAACGCTTTATTCGAGAAGAGAGCAGACCTCTGGTCATCACAATCTGCTGTGTAAATGAATGTTGTTTATAAAGCCCATCATTAGTGAGGGGATAGTGATCACTTTAATGAAGATAACCGTTTCATTCAGATCCATTGGCATGCTTCTAGGCTTTCATCCACTGTGAATTGTAGTTGTTTAAAGGAAAAGTTGGTTATCTGTACAGGCGAAAAAAAAAAAATGATTGTGCCTACTTTGTTCAGTTGACATTAGCTTGATTTCAGTCACCAGTATACTGCCAATGGTGGAGAATAATCTTGTTGCGTCCATACTGGGCATTGTATTTTTTGCCATGGTTTGATAGACTTCATAGGTGTACATTGTAGTGGTACTTTGTTTTCTCTTTTTTTTTTTTTTTAAGCTACGGCTGCAGTACAAGAAATGGGGTCAATCGTGTTTGCAAACGCTACCCTTTGATGATCCTCTCTGATAAATACACTAAATGCTGTTTTCTTTGGGCAGGAAAGCCGACTTGACCTGTACATTAAGTAGTAATTCTACAAAAGCCTAAAGCGGAACTCCAGGAATGATCCTGTATGGATACTTCCATTGGACCAGCTTGGATTAATATAAGTATCCATTACTGATCTGTGGAGGGCCACTGGGGTTGCCAAAAATCACTTTATTAGTCAGCGCTACCTGCGGTCTTTTCCGGCTGTGGCCCCAGAGGCTTTCCCCTGAACATTGACCACAGGGAGTCACTGGCTGGGCACCTCCACCATTCATTTGTATGTTTTACAATGAATATAGGGTATTCTCTGATTGGATGAGGAGGAGGGGAGGATGAAGTTGTTCTCTGAATGTTAGTGATGCCAAACCAGTGACTCCCTGTCCACTCCGGGTGACACCCGGCCTCGGGGCGCCCCTGATAAGGTGAACCTGTGTTCATGTTGAATGCCCGATAGTTGTTCACCTAGAAAAGTGAATGTTGGATAAGAAGGTGAACCTGTGTTCATGTTGAATGCCCGAAAGTTGTTCACCTAGAAAAGTGAATGTCCAATAAGAAGTGGAACCTGTGTTCATGTTCAAGTCTCAATAGTTGTTCACCTAGAAAAGTGAATGTTAGGAAATCAGACAAACCTGTGTTCAGGTTGAATGACCCAGTAGTTTACATAGCAGAGTGAATGTTAGAAAATAAGGTGAATCTGTGTTCACGTTGAATAACCATTTGTGAAGGAAGTAAAAAAACTCAAACAGAATTTTTGCTAACAAATGATTTGGTGTTCGATGTGAACGCAGCCTCCCCTTATTTACTAACAATCACTATGCAAAGTGAACAGCCTCAACTCCTTTAGTAAATTCCCCTCATTCTCTCTATTGAAGTCAGAGTCAAAGCCGTACATGTGCACTATGGTGGCATCTGGAGGAGACCAATGATGTCCAGCCTGGTGTAAGCAAGGACACGGTACTGTAGAATGTCCTGAGGTGGGGTGTGTGTTATTACATATTGGGGGGATCCAGGGAAGGGGCACTGGGTGTAAAAATTGGCTATATGACTAGGAGAATGGATGTCACAATTGGGTCCTGCACATAATAATATGGCATTACAATTTGCTGCTAAAGCCTTTGCCTGTTGACCATGCAGCACATTACATATGGTAGCTGCCATCATTCTGCAGTGTGAACGTGTTCCATGTACAGAGCAATGTAAGACTGCTCACTCATTATTCCATATAGATCATTGCCAGTGCCAGGACCCTAAGGGGAAAGGGCCATTTTTGTGACAACCACCGGGCCCACCCTAATACAGACTGTTCTCCTGTGTGAACAGGTGCTGTCAAAGATAGCAGATACTATTGAACTTTTCCTTGTCCCTTCCCTTGAACATCAATGTTCATATCCCATTACATGTGATAAAAGTAACACAAGGTGTGAAAGTAAGCCTATCATTAACCTAATACCTATTTATTATTACAAGGCATCTGTCACAGAGCAAGACACATGGGGCAAGACAATCACAGCACTATTCATCCTGATTGGCTGGGAAGCCAGCTCCATGCTCCCTGGCCACCAGGGAACATGGAGCCGGCTTCCCAGCCAATCAGGAGGCTGGGCAGCATGTAATGACTTACGACATGGCTTCCTGATACCTAACGTTCCGGTATTGGGATAGGCACCTGGGCGAGTACGAGAACTCGCCCCAAATGCTCTGTATTGGCACCGATACTAGTATCGGTATCGGTGCATCCCTAGTTATTAGTATATTTTCTTCCCAGGTTGAATGTAGTATCAGGAAAATATCACATCATGGCCACTAGATGGAGCTGAGGAGCACAGGAAATACTTCTTTCCTATCGAGGCTCCGGAGCTCCATCTAGTGGTCACAATACAGTGTTACATTGGAAAGAAAATTATACTAGTAACAATTGTTTTTGCCTGCTCTCGTAGAAAACAAATGTACATGGAGTTTTGTAGGATGAATAGTGATTTTTTTAAATAGAGATACACACCCCAAGTGTTTGGCTCTGTGACAGATGTCTTGTAATATCTAATAGGTATTAGGTTCATTTTAAATACACCGCAAGGTGTTCAAAGACTCTGGTGGAAACTGTCATTCTTTGATTTGTGGCCTGCACACAACTTCGGCACCAGTGACCCAACTTGCAGTGAAGATGAATAGGTGAAGCTTCACTGCCTCGGAAAAAGCACGCCGTTTATCAGTCAGAAAATAGCAGCTTCCATCATAGGCTTGTCACAGGGTTATGTTGACACTTAAAAGTGCCAAGTCTGGGCAATTGTTACCTAACTTTATCTGAGGACAAAGGGCTTACATGAGTACACACAGGATGCCGTTGGCAGCATTCGAGTTGTGTAACGATCATGTAAAGAGACACTGTCATTGTGCCCTTCCTAGGCAGAGTGATTTTCCTCCTGATAGTCTTCCCCCCAGAAAGGTATACCCACCAGCATTCTCCTACCACCCTGTGCTCCATTGCTTTAACATAGCAGGTGACCTCCTCCATGTGTCAGTGCTCTGTCATGATCGTCAAACCCAAACAGTGACGAGGGAGAAGCAGTGACGTAATCTAAGCGAGCTGCAACACCAGAGGTGAGGGGAGCAGAGATTGGCTAGCATACCTTGCTGCGGGTGGCTGATCAGGAGGTAGTCACTATGCCTTGAAAGCTAATCAGGATACAAACAGTAGAGCTGTCATTATTGACGTAGGCTTTAGGTTGTCACCCTGATCCTTCCTGTACTAGGGGGCAAGTCACTGACATGGAAAGTGTATATCCAGCAAGTGACTGTGGCTGATATTTGTTTTATGTCTGGGCCCACTGTATAGTGAAGTGAGGACCAGGATGACGACTACGGAGCTTGCCGTTTTAAAAACAGGTCTGCAGCAGCAGCTCCCTTTCTTCTATTCTTTTACAGGTTCTCTTTAAAGCCCAACTGCAGCCATTTTTTGTTTTCCTTTGGAAGGTTTCGAATCGGTCTGCATTCCTGTTTGGGGGATTTACGCTCAATGTCTGACTGATAGGCAGTGGCGTCACAAGGGGGGTGTCGGGGGGTGACACCATTGGAGGGGTGACACCAAAATGACTCACAGTCATTTTGGTGTCACCCCCCTCTGAAAAGTCGGGCGCTCGGTCAGAATCAGAATACTGCCGTGCGTGTGCGATGACGTCTCCGCGGGGTGACACTCGGTTACCGCTCCGGGTGTCACCCAGCCTCGGGACGCCCCTGCTGATAGGTTACAGAAAGAACAGGAAGTAGCTCCATCAGGATGTTTTTTGTTGTCTGTGTGCTCGGTAGGCCTCAGGGCCGGTGCACACCTAGTCGACACCTCACAGTGGATTGCCGCGGGGTCAGGAGTCGCCTAGGTGTGCACCGATCGCGCTGTGGGTGCCATTATTTTCGAATGGCACCCCAGTCGAATCGCGCAGTTTCCCGCTGCGATTCCGCCCGTGCTTCCGAACCAAAATAGCCACGTGTCGTGTATCGCAAAAAAAGCTACATGTACCTTTTTTTCTGCGATTGCCGCACAGATGTCACCCCAATGAAATCAATGGGGCTGCGCGGCAATCGTGGCCTGCATTGTGCAGGACCGCGGGATCCCAGATCGCGTAGATCTGCAACGGGCCTAAATGCTGCCGACGGAGCTAAACGCTGCAGGCACAGTGTGTGAGTATAGCAGCAGCGGCGGCCTGTCAGATTTGTGAACAGGTTGATAGCCCCTCTGCCCAACCCTGGGTGCAGACATTTTGCGTCCGGGGACAGCATTTCTGCTCGCACAAACAAATGGCTGCAGCTAAGCTCCCATTTTGTTTAATGCAGCCATAGCACAGAATGCAGCTTGTGTCCAGAGGCAGCCACAGAACACAGCAAACTATCCGCCCCAGATAACTTGTCTGAATGAGGCCTTAGAGAGATTGTCCCTGGGGGGGGGGGGGTGGTCGGGTAGAGAGAGTCAGAAAGAACAGAAAGAGAAATCTCCAGTGTGGAGACAGCATTTAAACTCTGATAAAGCACAATGGGGGACAGAGCAGTAAAAACCTGGCTGTGGTTCTCAACCGTCTTGTTGTATTCAGAACCTGGTTGCAGTTGGTCTTCAGGTCCCGTAGCACTCTGAAACATACTGAACCATGCCAAGTTACCCGTGACCCGCTGAAAGCCATCACTGAAGACGTTTGCCATTATACATTTGTACAGGAAAAAAAATAAAGCACCTTAATCTCTTGGAAATGAAATAATTAAGCACAATGTAAGGTAGAGCTCGATTTTATTGACTTGTGATTATGTTCTTTAGATGTAAAGTATATCAAAAGTCAGAACTTTTCTTTTTTTTTGGACTGAGTGGAAAGGAGGGGGGCTTTGTCATGCGTATGATTAGGAAGATTTCACACCAGCACAACAGGAAGTGAGAGGATATCATTTCAATGTAAGGTATATAATCCCTCAGTTGTCACGGGAACAAGTGTCCCCATTGGAAGATTTCCTCTCTATCCCGCTTCTTGTGGGATTTCCCCCCCAACGTCCATTAGTAATAAGGTCAGTAATGGAAATGAAGACCTGGCAGTGTTTCTAACCAATTCTTCAAAGAAAAGTTTTGCCTTCAGGTAAAGATGGATCTCTGTATATACATTGTAAATGAATAGATTTTATGTTGCACACGAGTGAATTTTTGTGTTCTTTTTTCAAACCAAAGTCGTTTTTCAGGATGTGTTT